GAGGATGAGTGAAAATGAGGAAGGCCCAGGAGGAGATGGACTGAAAGGAATGACAAGTGGCTGCAGCAATGGGCTCAGGCATAGGAACAGTTGTGAAGATGAAGCAGGACCGGACACGGTTTCACTCTGTTGTACACAGGGTTGTTATGGGTTAGAACCAACTTGATGGCACCTAACAACAAATACTATTTCCATTGATAATCCATTGCATGATGTGACAATATAGACAAAATATCACCAGTGAATAATCATAATCAAGCACTTATGAAAGGTTAAGTTCTGAATGAGCATTTACTTGATATTTTAGGACATGTTTGTCAAACAAATAAATATAATGAGATTAGAAGATTGCTTCTATCTATGTGAGAGAAAAAGGTGAGCTCAGAGCTTGAAATTCCCTGCTCATCAGCTACATAAACAATCTGAAAGCTTCTCTGTTCTGAACTCTATCTCCTGTAGCCATGGAACTGAGATTTTTGTAAATCAAACCCAGGGAATCATCCAGTTGAGTGGCTGGATTACAATGCAAATTGAATTTCCAGCCTACATTTTTTATGTCAATCTGCACTATTAATTGGAGAAAGAATGAGATCCTTAAAATTGGAATAAAAATCTATGGGCAGATACTGAGGACAATGAACTAACTTCTGCTTAGTCTTCCTTGTCAAGAGAATCAGCCCTTCCCCCACCTCCACCCTGTCATAGAAGGTCAGCTCTGTTTTGCCTGAAAAAAAATTATAATAACCTCTCCCATGCAATTGTCTTAGAAGACCCTGCTGACTTTCCTCAGGACCTATCTCCACCACTACCCAGACACAGAACTAGTCTCAGGTGCCAGCAAGCCCCAAATAGCGTATCACCCATGAAGAGGTATACTATACTCCAAATTAAAGGCATGATTCCTTAAGTTGATGAAGACAGAAGTCTAGGTAACACATATTATAAACAGATATTAAGAAAATAGGATAATAGTGGAAGAAATATAAAGTTGAATCCACCAAATTTATTGACATAGACCCACTAAGTTAAAACTATACATTCAGTAATGTAACTTTAGAGGTTAGAAAGTGTGCTACCAAGCCATTTGGTTGGTTGGCTGAAACATGAACCCAAAATTGGCCTACACCAAATAAAGTTAAAATGCCATAACTTCTTTGGTATAAGGTAGAAAAAGATATCCAAAGATTTAAGTAGATTTGGCATATAAGAAATTCTCACCTACACTTGGAAGGACTTTTCACCACAACCACGAGAAATTTGCAAACCATGAGCAAAGCCCCAGTCTAAAAGAACTCTATGGTCACTCTTCTTTGCAGGTCAGAAATTGCAATGGGGTATGAGCCCCACAATAAAATTAAAAAAAAACAACTCTTTCTTATACGTATGTAAAAAGAAAGAAATTACAGTGGGAACTGTTGCTACTGAACTCTCACTGCCATTGTGTCGGTTCCAACACACAGCTACCCTAGAGGAGGCGCTACGACCCTGTAGTTTTCTGAGACTGTAAATCTTTATGGGAGTAGAAAGTCTCATCTTTCGCCCACAGA